CAAATAAATAAAATCTTAAAAAAAAATTAAAAAATAAATCAGAGTGGTAAAGCTTGCTGTTCATATGCCTCGCACCTTTCTGAGAGGATGCTCAGGAGCTGGTGCTGAGCGGCACGTTCAGGTTGTTTTCAGTGTGAGAGCTTGTATTAGGAACGGTCCCGGTGAGTCAGAGGGTGACATAAGTGGCCTCCTGTCTTGTCCCAGGCGCTCCCCACTGGCTTGCTTTCTTCCTGGACACGAACAACTCTGTCTGGCAGACAGTAGATCATACTTGGAGAGAGAATGGATTTCTCCAATGGCTTTGACCTTTAATGCCGCACAGAAGAGTAGTTAACACACCACTTACTCCCGCCGGACTTCCTGGGCCGTGTGGTTATGTAGTCTGGATGAGTGGTTTCAGAAGTGAGGCTGAGGTGGGGGGCGATTGTGGGCCAAATCCCATTCATCTTCTCATGGACAGATTTATAAGGAGAAGAACGGGCATAACCTTTTCTTTGCACCAGGTCTAAATGGGAGGAAAGAGTTCTACTTTGACGGAATAGAAATTGATGCAAGAAAGCCATGCAACAGGTGTGGGGCAGGAGAATGAGTGGCCTGGGGAGGTGGGCACTTCCCCCTTCCTCTGACGTCTCAGGCTGGAGGGGAGCTCAGCCCTCGGGCACTCGGTGGGGCAGGGGGCAAGATGCTGGCGCCCTGGGTGGCCCTCCTCCCATGCCCCTCATCCGACCCAGTGCTTCCTCTGCTGCCCTCATGCAGGAAGGCCTTATTCCGTTTCTTTTTCTCTTAGTCAGATTCCGAGGAAGATGAGCCTTCCAAGAAGAAAACTGTCCTTCAGGTAAGCTTCGTGACGTGGCAGAAGCCACCTCTTCTCTTTCCCTGCAGCTTCCTGAAAGCGGGAGTTACGACGCCTGGCAGTTTCCACAGCGCGCTTAGAGCAGATGCAAGTGCTGGAGGACCGACTGTTCCCGGGTGGTTTTGTGTTTCTGGGTGACACCAGCCCTTGTGCTCCCTGCCCTCCCCTCACTGCTCCTGGGGCAGGCGGGGGCGGGCCGGGGGACGTGGAAACCAACGGATGAGTTACATTTCTGCTCCAGGGATTATGTAGGAAGGTAGAGTAGAGGGAACGGATCGGTCAAAACCATGTGAGGGAACGTCTGTATTTTAAAATGCTCCATCTTCTTCCCATCTCATGTTTTTTTTTTTTTTGAAAAAAAATTTTTTTTAAGATTTTATTTATTTATTTGACAGAGAGAGACACACCAAGAGAGGGAACACAAGCAGGGGAAGTGGGAGAGGGAGAAGCAGGCTTCCCGCTGAGCAGGGAGCCCGATGCGGGGCTCGATCCCAGGATCCTGGGATCATGACCTGAGCTGAAGGCAGATGCTTAATGACTGAGCCACCCAGGCGCCCCTTCCCGTCTCATTTTTAACCTGGAAAATAAACACTTAAATAGCATTTACTGTGTACCAGGCACTGTTCTGAGCGCTTTACTAGCATTTACTTGATTTAATCCTCCAAGTGGTGCTGAAGGCCTAGTGTCTTCATCACGCTCACATCCTGCCTGAGGAACCGGGAGCTGAAGGCGCTCGCCCTGGATCAGGTGGCGAGCGGGGCAGGGCTGGGGGTCTGACTCGCTTTCTGACTGTAGAGTCCAGGCCTGGCCCTGCTGTACTTGGCTCCTGTTCCAGAATTGTGACCAGAAGTCCTCAACCAGACAGCGCCGGGTGATTCCCCCTTGTCCCAGTGCCTCGATTCCGGCCCCTGGGAGTTTCTTCCTGTTCTGCTCCGTACTCGGGGACTTATATGCTCTCTGATCTCATGGATCATATGTCTCAGGAGAAGCAAAAGCAAAAGTGGTCCTGGCTCTCTGAGGTTGTTCTCTCGTGACTCAGGTATATGATGCTGAAGCTGCCCCCTGCCCTAAGTCTGCTGAGGTGTCACTTCCATCGCTGGGAGGCCCGACCCAGTCACGTGGGAGTGAGAACCGGCACTGGGAGAGCAACCTTGTGGCCCCTTGTGGGGGGTGATGGGGGAGGAGCCACTGCACACACTGGCAGCTGAGGCCGCTGAGGCCGCTGGAGGCCAGCTCTCCGTTACCAGAATGGCTTCCTGGAGGAGGTGGATGGCAGCCCTAGTCATGGGAGGGCACTGGCTCAGAAGGCCTCGGGAGGCAAGAGCAGCCTTCCAAGCTGGCAGGAAGGGGTGGGTGGATAGAGAGCTCAGCTGGGGGCAGAGTGGGGCGCTGCGGGGGGCTGTGGCTGTGACCCCAGATATCACCTGAGAAGTCGGACGCCTCAGGGTAGCCTGAGCAGGTGCTCCACATGGCGCCTCGGCCCGGTCCCTACACGCTTGAGTCTCTGCAGCCTGCCGGGACACACAGCAGGGAGGGGGCCCACTCGCCAGATGAACACTCCTGCCTGCCTGACTCATGGGCTCTACTTCACTTGCTCCAGGCGTTGCTTGGCCAAGGGGCTGAAGTATACTAGTCCTCCAGGACAGGGGCGTAGTGACTTTATTCCATTCTCCTTTTTCTTTCTTTCTTTTTTAAGATTTTATTTACTTATTTGAGAGAGACAGAGTGAGAGAGCACGAGCAGAGGAAAGGGGCAGAAGTAGAGGGAGAAACAGACTCCCTGCTGAGCAGGGAGCCCGATGTAGGACTCGATTCCAGGACCCTGAGATCATGACCTGAGCTTAACTGACAGAGCCACCCAGGCGCCCCTCCATTCTCCTTTTTCAAACAGACGTCTCCCTCAACCCTACAGTTAGGCCAAGCTGGCCCTGTAGCACACAGAACGCAGAATGGGAGAGATTTTATGTGTAGTAGGAACTCTGAGTGGGCTGAGCCAGTTAGCTTACAAATGGAGAAGTTAAATGCTTGCCTGGGGCATAAGCTGAATATACCACATCTATAGGGTTTTCCTTGGGCAGGAGAGAGGACTTTGGGCAACAGAAATGAATGTCTTTTGGACAGAGCCTTGTTTTTGACTTTGAGTAGCAATTCAAAGGAAGCAGAGGGTTCCTATGTTAAGAGGAACCTTCAAGACATGGAGAGAGGTAGAGCGGTCAGCTGGAGAGAGCCCTGGGCTGTTTGGGAAGAAAGATGATGTGGGATTAAGAGCATCATATCTGAGACGCTGAACTCTAGGAAACAAATGGAGGGTTGCTGGAAGGGAGGGGATGGAGGGATGGGGTAACTGGGTGGTGGGCATTAAGGAGGGCACTTGAAGTAATGAGCACTGGGTGTTGTATGCAATTGATGAATCACTAAATTCTACCTCCCAAACTAATAATACCATATATGTTAATTAATTTGAATTTAAATAAAAATTAAAAAAGAGGACCATATTTGCCAAAAACAGAGAATCAGGGAAGGCTCTGTGACAGAGGGCAGGGGAGCTGGCTTGGTATGGAGCCAAGGAGGACAGGGATGGCATCTTACCTTGGGAGAAGCAGCTAGCAGAAGGGCCTGGGGTGGGAGGAGTCAAGCCCAGTTGGATGAGTCAAGTGGGCAGAGGTAGGAAGGAAGCAAGGGCTGGTAAGGTTGTAGGCGGAGCGCCTGTCTGTAACTCTTGTTCTTGATGTCGATAATACAGATCACAAGATCTCACTTGTCCCATTTTTTCCCTCCTTCCCCAAACCTGCGCTCACCAGGGATCCGGCGAGGGGACTGGTCTGTCTGCCCTGCTTCCCCAACCTAAAAACCTGACGGTGAAAGAGACTAACCGGTTGCTCCTTCCGCACGCCTTCTCCCGGAGACCCTCGGATGGCTCCTCTGGCACCAAGCCCTCCAGACAGGCCTCTAAGCCCAAGCCCTGTCCCCCGGCCTCTGTCGTGGGCACCACAACCACCACCCCGTCACCCTCTGCCATCAAGGCTGCCGCCAAGAGCGCTGCCCTGCAGGTGACGAAGCAGATCACGCAAGAGGAGGACGACAGTGATGAGGAAGTAGCCCCCGAGAACTTTTTCTCCCTCCCTGACAAGGCTGAGCCGTCTGGAGTTGAGCCATACCCTTACCCCGTCCCCACTGTCCCTGAAGAGCTGCCTCCAGGCACGGAACCAGAGCCGGCCTTCCAGGACGATGCAGCCAATGCTCCCCTTGAATTCAAGATGGCAGCGGGCTCCAGTGGGGCCCCTTGGATGCCTAAGCCTGGGGACGACTACAGCTACAATCAGTTTTCCACATATGGCGATGCCAATGCCGCTGGTGCTTATTATCAGGTGGGTATGAGCCATGGGGGGCAGGCCAGGGCTCGGTGGAGGGTGGCGGCTGGGGAGAGCCGTGAGCCGGTGGTACAGCCTCTCTGCTGTCACTTTGAATTGACGTCTTCTGGGGTCTTGATTTTCCTGTGCATATCGGGCCTCGAAACATGCTGCCTTTGTTCTGAACCATGTGGGTCTAAAATTGCCTGAGCCTTGAGGTCTGATATAACTGACAGCTCTATTCTGAAAACCAGCCCTCGTTGTAGGAGCTGGTGAGGGGGGAGGAAGAAGGCGGAAGAGGGGGGCCCTCTAGTCTGGGAGATCCAAGGTGGCCTCATGGGGATGAGGGAGCTGGAGGTGGGATGCACCGAGAGCAGGACGGGAGAGGAAGGGCCGAGGGCCAGGGGGATCTGGATAGTTGACACAACAGGGAAGAGGGAGAAGGGAGAAGGCGGGAGACCGAGCCCTGGGAGGTTGGAAGGGTGGAGGCACCTGCCCTGGGGAGCCAGGGGGCCGTAATTTGTGTTGTGAGAGAGAGTGGGGTCCAGGGTTAGTTTGGGCTTTGAATCGCATGCTGTGTGAGTCCGAGCAGCTTCCTCAGCTGTGCAAGGGGCGTAATAGCGGTGGCCTTCTGGTGTCGCTGGGCCATCCCATCAACTTAGCGTGGTGCCTGGGACAGCAAATGCCCAGTAAATGGTTGCGGTGACTTTTTATCCAGGCCCCATTTGGAGAAGCTACTTAGCTTTGCTGTGGGTGGCGTGAGAGAGAATATAGCATGCCAGGTTGTGAGTGGGTTTAGGAGATTTTCCTGGCAGCCAGAGTGTCCTGGGTGGAGAGGGCTCCAGGGCTTGGGGACTCTTGGCAGGGCTCCTGGTTGAGCAGGGGCAGCTGGTGGCAGTTTTCCTTGCAAGACTTAAGTCTCCTTGGACCACTGCGATTCTCTGAACCGCCAGCATTAATCTTCAGCCTGGGCATGGGTAAGGACCCATAGTGGGTGGGCTTTGGGGGGACCCTGTTCTTTTTTTTTAAGATTTTATTCCTCTGACAGCACAAGCAGGCAGAGCTGCAGGCAGAGGGAGAGGGAGAAGCAGGCTTCCCACGGAGCAGGGAGCCTGATGCGGGGCTTGATCCCAGGACCCCGGGACCATGACCCGAGCCGAAGGCAGATGCCCAACCGACTGAGCCACCCAGGCTCCCCAACAATTTCTAAATATTTGTATTTCCTAAATATTTGCTGTTGAGCCTCAGTGTATCCTGTAGGCCGATCGGGGACAATATATCTCCCTTCAACATTGTTAGAAGGAAGGAGGAGGAAGATAAGAGTGTTTTGACCTCTTTAGCCAAAAAAAAAAAAAAAAAGCCATTTAAATGAATATCAGGCATTCTGTATCCATTTATAAACTCCACTGAGGCAGTCTGGGCACATGAAAGCATGTTACATACACTCGGGGACCCTGCAGTTGCATGTATCTTACTGTGAATACTTTCATAGAAAATTGTGTTCCAGTCATTCTGGATTTTCATGTATTTTATTGGTTGATGTTAAACTTTATTTTCCATTTAGCTCACCAAAAAGTGAATGTTCTTAGAGGGGCATTTTCTGGAGCTTGGGCAAAAGTGGAAGAATTGGGAGAAGGTATGCACAGGGAGGACACCCGTTTCTCAGCCGGAGGGCCGCCTCTCCCCCTGGCCTCCTGGGGTCCCTCTTCCTCTGGGATCCACAGTGCTTGTGACAGCTCACCTCTCAGGCCGGTCCTCAGATTCCTGAGCTAAGTGTGTGGTAACACACACCTGGCTTTTTCCCTTCTAGCCAGTGATTTTATCTCCTGTTCTCATGCAAGCGGAGTTGACACACAGTGTTAACGTTAGTTTTAGGTGTATGGTAATTTATGTTCTGTGCGAGATCAGCACCCTCCCCGCCTGTTGCAGGCAGTGTCCTTGTGTCCAGAGGCCGTGAAGAAGACGAGGAGCGGGAATGGTGTGCTCTCACACCTCTTCCCTGCTCACAGGGAGCTTGCTGCGGCCTCTGGAGGAGCACGGGGCTGGGGGGGTGCCTGCAGGGGGCAGGACGGATGAGGGAGGGGCTGAGGGGCGGGGGCGGGGCCGAGGAGGAGAGGGGCCGAGGGGGAGGGGCGGAGGGCGGGGCCGAGGGGAGCAGGGGCGAGGCCGAGGCCCTGTAGCTCAGGGCTTGGGAATCCCCTCCGGAAGCGGCTGAGGAGGCAGGGTGTGAATTGAAGCAGGAGAGAACGTCTTATTTCTTGTCACCCTTCCCTAAAATACGTCCTCCAGTCCGGATGGTGCGGATGAGAAAAGCCGCACACTGCCCTTGAGTCCAGCATGGCGTCCGCGGCTTCAGCTGGCGGCCGCGTCCTTGGCGGGGCGCCCTCTCCCCGCAGCGCGAGGCCGCTGGCCGCCGCGCCTCACTTGCGTGTTTCCCCCGCTCTTGGCTGCAGGATTACTACAGTGGTGGCTACTACCCTGCCCAGGACCCGGCCCTGGGCCCCCCCCAGGAAATCGCCCCAGACGCCTCCTTCATCGATGACGAAGCAGTAAGTTAAAGCGGGGGGACCGTCTCTGACCCGTGGACTCCAGGTTTCAAGTCTGAAACTAAAAACCGTTTTTAACTGTATTCAGTGAGGATTCACATACCTGAGAAGCTCCAACGCGTAGGGGCTTAGAGCAGAGAAGCGAATGTTTTTCCTCCTCAAAGAGCGGGGAGGCAGGCAGGCCCGCGGGCCGGTCCCCCTGACGAGTAGTTTGCTGTCCCTGGTTGTGGCCTTCCTTCCGGCCCGCCCGGGCAGCTGAGGCGGCCGGTGCGGAAACGCCGAGGAAGGACGCCTTCCCGCGCCGCCCAGGGGACCTCCCCAGAGGTGTCGCGAGCACTCCCACTCTGTCTCACTGACTAGAGCCGGGTCACGCGGCCACACGTGCTTGCAGGGGAGCGGGGTGGGGGGGCGCGTGCGTAGCCAGACTGGCGCCCGTTCGCGGGGAGGGATTTGGGGCGGGAAGAGCAGCCACCGCGAATATGCCCGGTGCTCCACACTCCGGGTCCCCTGCTGCCGAGCTCCCTAGGCCCCGCACAAGCAGAGGTGAAGCCGCGCGTCCTGTGCCGTCGGGCTGTGTGACGATGGAAAGTGGTGTTCTCTCCGCAGCGAGGTCGTGGCCCGTTAGGAGGGGGTTGGAGGAATCTGGGGCGCTACCTCTTTACATGCAGGTTCTTGTGAAAAATAACTGTCTGCTCACCTCTTCACAGAAGGGTGTCCATCCCTCTGCATTTTGCCTCCTGTGGTTAATGTTGTGTTCATCGGCTCCCCTGTGGGTATATCCTCGGCCAGTTCCGTAGTTAGGCCCTTTTTGTCCCCTGCCTAGGAGGCAGCAGAGAGCTCATCCTGTGCGGAAAGTTCGTTTTTTGTGGGTGGAGTGCCCCTCAGAGCCTCGCTAATAATGCTCACACCAGGACCTGGGTTCCACGCAAGTCTCTGAGTGTTTTGTTTTGTTTTTCCCTAAATGTTTTTATTTATTAGAGAGAGAGAACGAGCAGTGGGGAGGGGCAGAGGGAGAGGGAGAAGCAGACTCCCCACTGAGCAGGGAGCCCGACCTGGGGCTGGAAT